ACTAAAGAGTTGCAACCTGATTTCGTGCTTGTTCCAGATGCATGTGGCGCAAACGCATGTGATTTATATGGAATGCGTCTCACTTCAGTTGCCGCTTATGCTGGGTGATGCACACAAGTGTGTCAATCACAATCCGAATGCTACCCTTACCTCCCTGGGTCATTGTCGCGCCCCATTTTTTATAAGAAAAATAAATGAATTAAAAAGTGGATTTTTTATTTGAAAAGTGATTTTTGATTTACAAAGAAAGTGGGTCTAAATGGGACTTGAAAATGCGACGATTTGACCCAAAATATAGTTTAAAAAGGGTTTTGAAATAAAAATCGGAGTCGCCACTTGGTATAGAGTTAAGGTGTACCAAGTCACCTAAAAATGAATTTTTTAAAAGAAAAAGATAGAAAGAAACCCCTTTTAAACGACTCCTAGTCTACGTAGACCAATGAAAAAGGTTCGGGAGTCACATTTGACGAAGGGGAAGGCAAGGATGAAATCCAAGACACCCCTTCGACCTAGCCAAGGTTAGTTGCGTGATTTAGTCAAGGATTTTCTTATTTTTAACCAAAAGATTTATCACATTTGGATGTACTATATGAATGCAAACCCTAGACCTAGGGGGTATCGGGGGGTAAAATTTCTCTTCAAAGTTTGAATGGTGCCAATCACATTAATTGTGATGCCCAATAATGACCCTTTGGTGAAGTCATGAATAATGCAAAAATATGAGACTCTAAGAAAAAGAAATAAAATAAAATAATTATACAAATATACATGTCTTAAAGGAATGTATCATGTCGAGTACGGGGGACTAATGTTCGTGACTCAATTTTTCCTTTTAATAGAGGGAATACGAGCGTGCTAAGGCTAAAAAAGCCAAACTCGTCCATATCCCATATTCAAGGGGTTAACCCTATCTAATCAAGCAAATGCCCTATTCTGATCCTAATTCTAAAATGAAATGCAATTCTAATGTTATGTATCATACATAGGGGTATATATATAGGGAAATTAGGGATAAGGGCTATACGTATAAGGAGGGATATCATGCAACATGGTGAAAGAGGCCTTAAAAGTCAAGATATGCATGAGATGAAGTGAGCACGCAATCATGATCTAACGCGCGAAGGGCTTCTAAGGGCTAGCGTTGGACTAGCCCACATCTACGCTCCCTCACAAGCATTAGACTTGTAAGAGCTCGAGGGGATAATCATGACTAGCATTGGACTAGCCACAATTACGTGCATTTGCATCCATCATACACATATATAAGTAATATGCATAATTAAAGCAAGTAGACATGTGAGCACGTAATTCACATAACACATAACACATAAGCATGCATATCTAGATGCCAAACCCTAAAAAAGCAATTAAACACATAGCACATACGCATGCGAAACACACAAGGCAATTAAGGCCCTAACTATTACATTTTTTGGGGGAAGACCTACTACAATCTAAAAGGGGAAATAGAAGGAATAAAACAATTAAATCCCTAACTATTACCATTTTGGCATTCGAGTGCCTCCCAAATGACGAAATTGAATTAAAGCAAAAACTAACCAACTAAAGAAATAAATAAAGTAAAAATGAAAATAAACGCTTAAAGTCATGCAATTGCACACATAAGACACATATACGCACGTAGGGTCAAATAAAGTAAAAAATAAAGGATAGAGTGTACCTCCCTTGCAATGGTAAGCAAATGAAGGGAAAATAGCTGAGAATGATTTTGTGGTCGGTTGCTCGTGAGACGTTGCTCAGGAACCGCACGCTAAGTCCAGAAACAGCGTTGAGAGCTTCATCGTCGAAACCGCCGCCTTGGCGAGCAGGCTCGAAGCAGCCATTCGTGTGCCTTCCCAGCATTATTTTGCAAACATCCTTGAACAAAAGTTCAAGATCTGACTCTGTAGATGTTCCAGATCACCTAAATTCTCCAATAAGGAGCCGATTCCTTAGAGAAAATTGCCTCCACAGGCATCGAAAAATCAGCATGAATAGCAGATTTTCTGGAAGATGTTTTCTTCCCGCTGCTGCTCTTTCCTCCTTTCTTTCAGCCCGTCACCTTCTTGCAACCCCAGATCCTCTCTTGTGTCTTCCTCGCCTTTTTTCAGTGCCCCCCAAGCTCGAAGCTTTCTTCTTCCTCTGCCTCGATGAACTCCCCTTTTCAGTTTTCCTTTCTCGCCGCCGCCCAGCTATGCTTTCTAACCCTTCGCTCTCGCCTCTGTTTTATTGTTCCTTTCTTTTCCTTTCGCTCCCCAGAAACCCCCGTAGCCTTCTAGTTCTTTTCTCCCCACAGCCGCCAACTAACCTCTCGGTTTCTTTCTTTTGCTCTCCAAAAAACCTCCCCCCACGAAGCTTCCCCAGCCTTTCCTCTTGCGTTTGTCTTTTTTCCCTCGCTGCTGTTTTTTATCTAGCCCGCCGTCCGCTCTCCCTTTCAGATTTTTCTTTCGGCTAAACTCCAGACCTTTTTGCTTAGCCATCAGCCCAGATTCTCCCCCCGTAGCTCTCCCTTTCTCTTTCAGTTTTTTTCTAGCCGTCAGTCGTCACCCCCTTTTTTCATCCGCCCCCGCCTTAGCCTTCCTTTTATATCCCCTCTTTATAGCTACCACAACTTCTAAACCTACATCTAATGGTGCTGCTGAAATCATCTTTCCTTGATGGTTTATGAACCCTTAGATGAGGTTTTGTCCATGATGATCTTGGTGTAGGGATTAAAGCCAAGTGGTTAGGGATTTAATATGATCCAACGGCAAAGAAAAAATTACGGAAAAAAAAATGGGAGAAAAATGGGATAGAACCGAGCTGCATTTTACTTATGTACTGCCGTGCCTAATTTTCTGATATGAAACTAAAGAAATATTTGCCCGTGTGAGCTTGCCTTTTCTTTTTTCTTTCTTCTTCCTTTTTTTTTTTTTTTGAAACTTAGTAGATAGAAAAGAAAAAAAATGCTTTTAAATCAATAAGAGACACGAAATAGGAATAAAAATAAAATAAAATAAACCTAAAATTGAAACAAATAAATCTAAAATTAAACTAATTAAATAAATAAAGTTCGAAACCAAAAATTTGGTGTCTACAGTCATGTTTATATGGGTGTACAACACGGGTGGTTCAGTGTCCTACCTCCAGCTTGGAAAGTTGAGTCGATTCAGCAATGCCTAGGGTCGAACTGTACCATCTTGCACAACCAGATTCGGGGCTTTTTTAGTCCCAACGAACATCGTTATCAAGTGCACGTGAATGCCCATACTCGAAGACAAATTAGAGAGCTTTGTGTTGCAACCTGGAACGTTCACAAGCCTTACACACGTTCCTTCTTACCTTGGCGAATGTCCTTGTTCGAGAGGCCCTTGAAGCTGACTAAGAGACATGTGCACCGAATTATATTAATCATAACATGTGCAAGTGTTATTCAATCAAAGAGGGCCAATATGTGGAGATTTGAGGCGTCATACTGGCAACTCTTGTTAGTATCATTCATCTCCATCCAGATTTGAGGACAAATCCTTCTTAAGAGGAGGGGACTGATGTGTGCACGGATGGCGAGATGGATAGCGGCTTTAACTCAAGACTCTCATAGAGACCTCGAAGGCTTGAAGGATTTTAATCGGGTTATCTACACCATGACCCAAGCCCATGAAGAGTCAAGTGGGCCTCCAAATGAGTTGGCCTAATAGGGCCTTAGGCCTTAGTAGTTATTTAGCAATTGATTAGTGTTTAAGTAAGAGCATGGGCCGGCCCATCTTGTCCCAAGACCATGGGTCGACTTTTCCCTTTCCTAGTCCCTTTAGGGTTTCAGTCACTTTAGCCTATAAATAGGCTTGCTTTGTAAGGTTTTAGTCAGACGTTTTATCAATAAAGTTTTGCATATTTTCGATTCCTCTTGAGAGAGAGATTCGACCCATTTACTTGATTTGGCAAAGGTTTTGAGCAGTCTTGCGTCTCGTCCTAGATTGTTCTACCGACCTATCCCGTGGAGTATCCACCTTCATTGGAGTCGTCGTCCTACCGTCTTGAATCAAATCGTGTCGTCCATTTGGTTCTAGATCCCGCAATTCCAAGCGTTGGACAACCTCGCTAGATCCTTGGGCAAACGTGCTACGTGTCTCGAAACGTGTTGATCGAGGAACGTATCAAAAATGAAAGAATTTTATTTTTTTTTAAGTATAGAAGGAGTGAAAATTAAGAAGTGGGAGAGTGGGAAAGGAGACTAAGACCCTGTTTGATAACCCAATTTAGTATTTAAACTTAATAGATTCAGATCTTAATATATTCAAACCGTTTGATAACAAAAAATTGAACATTTGAATTAATTAAATGGCACTGAAGTTTCCAGGCAAAACTTGCTCGCAAAATTAAGTGATAATCTATTCATTTATCACTGAATGTGATATGCTCTCAAATGTATTAGATTTAATACTTAATGATTCAATAATTTAATGGATTTAAACTTCAATTTTACCAAACATACCCTAAATCCTCTTTTAGCCACTAGGCCATGACCCTTTCCAATTTGGCTAATGACAATTCAAATTTATTAATTAAGTAGATTTTATGTCTTTGAGCGATAAGAGGAAGAGCCAAAGAGACAAAGCAGTGAAGAGAGTACACACAAAACGACAAGTTCGTAATTTAATTGCTTCTGTATCTTAGATGTATTTCAAATCTGAGCTATTATCGATGCTGCCAATGGATGTATTAAGCGTGATTAGTAGATTATCCAGATGTTAAACAACCTGGCATGTCCTCTGATCGCGGGCATTATTCAAATACATAACTGTACTGTTTGCTTTTCTTGTTACGTATCCAAAAAACTTTAACTAGGGTCCATGGCGCCTTATGGTAAGTGTTTTTCTTGTCAAGCATCCAAAAAACTTTAATTATTCACCAGTCCATAACAAGAATTTTTCTAATGGTTTGATCATTAGCTTTCTATTAACTTTCTAAAAAATTAACACCTGAGAACCCTCCTAATAACTCCCTGATGAATACCTGCTTGTCAAATTGTTACAGCATTACAATTGCATTGCAGCTGAAATAATACACTTCCAAAGACTAATGAGATCTTCCTTTAAATTAAAAAAAATAATAATACCATGCCATATCTCCATGTTTACTCTAAACCAAACATTAGAAAAAAAACTAATTTCGTCTTTTGTATCGTAGCATATATAGTATATAATCGCTTTATTACCTAGACTTGTGCTATTAAGAATAATCAAACAATAATTCCACATAACCATCGGAGTTGGTTCTGCCAGCTTCAAATTCTAAAATGACAGTTAGAGGAACAAGGACGTGATGAGAGGGGAGAAGATTTTTTTTTTTAAAAAAAATTGCTCCCAACCTTCATTGCTTCCGAAACTCAAGGCAGAACGCAATATACCCTTTGTCAAGCATGTGTCAACGAGAAGAAAGGTGTCCGTTAGCAGCTATCCCAACTTTCTCCCGCATTTGGGTCTTGATTTTCTCCACAAACTGATGGAAGTTGCCCTCCGATGATCCATTTGTGGACAGTGCAAGTTCTAATTTCTTTCTGACTTCCTTGATTGCCGCTCTCAACTCATCCAAAACTTGTCCATTCATTAAAAGACTAATTTTCTCCACGACCTCATCCCTAGTGATCGCCTGCTTGTCACAAAGGTTAATTCCAATTTTCCAATCATTGATCACCAACTTACGATTGGTGAATTGATCAGTAACCAGTGGATAACAAACCAACGGCACGCTACACCATATACTTTCCAATATCGAATTCCATCCGCAATGAGTTAAGAAACCCCCGATCGCAGGATGTGATATCACCGCAATCTGGCAACACCACGGTACAATCAGACCACGATCTTTAATCTGGTCTTCAAATCCAACGGGCAAGAAATCAGTTTCATCGGAGCTGACAATGTCTGGACGAACCACCCAAATAAAACTCACCCCACTTGATGAGAGCCCATGGGCCATTTCCAAAATGTCTTGTTTGCTGGTGTGAGCATAGCTCCCGAATGAGACGTACAAAACTGACCCATCAGGCTTATCGTTAAGCCACTGAGTGCAGTCTGACTCAGACCACAAACTAGTGGCTACATTGCTCTTGGTAAAGCTAGCTGGGAAGACGGGCCCAATGGCATAGGTTGGCTGTTTGCGATTAAGGGCTGAGATTGTTTCCAGCTCCAGCTCTTGGACAGTGTTGCAAATTATGATGTCGGCTCTTTTCACATCGTCAAAAGCCTGGTAAATTACCTGGTGCACCACCGTCCAGATGTCGGTGGCTTGAAGATATGACATCAGGTCTCCGGGCTCGATAGCTTTAACTCCTGGAATGTAATCTATGTTGTCCCTGCGATTCACTAAACCAACCTCCAACCAAAATAAAAAAAAAAAAACATTTAATTTAAGCAACGAACAATTGTACAAAATCCGTATTAGAAAAAGTTAAAAGCTGACCCATATTTTGTTGCACCAAAGGAAACAAGCAGTACATTCGTAGTTAATCAATTGCATAATGGAAACGACGTCATGGAAAGGAAAGCAGCCGGAGGAGGCGAAACGACGTCATGGAAACGATGTCAGAGGAGAACTCACCAGGAGAGGCGAAATGGCCATTTCGCCTGAGGAGGTCCAAGTGATAATAGAGAGTGAGGACCAAAGCTGGTTCGGTCCAGAAAGAAACGTGGACGAGATTATGTTTCCTGGCAATTACAGATCCCCACACGAAGAACGTATCCGAGATCAAGCATGTAGCTGGAGGTTCTGTTTCCGAATTTACTAAATTTCCCACTAGTTCATCGATGTGGGCAGAGAAAACATGTATTAAGCCTTCCACGAATTGATCCTCGTTCAAGGATCGATCAAAAGAAAGCGGGAACCCATCACTGACGGTGGCGTAACGTATGTCCAGACCAGATTGACGGGCTTTGGCGAAAATGTCATCTCTTCTGCAGCCCGTTTGTGCTTTGGAGATCTGGTGGTGCACTGATTGGGTGTTAACAAAAGTGATTATGAAACCTTTGGAGGCAAGCTTGATCGCTAGGTGTACAAAGGGGTTAATGTGACCTTGATAAGGATATGGGATCATAATTGCATGGGGTTTCCGGTATGTGCCGGCCATTTTCCTCTGGGGGACGAGCGATAGATGGTTGGTGTTGGGTAATGGGTGGGCAGCGGTAGAGGAGCTCGCAAATCTGTGTCCAATAATTGAAGGCAAAAGAAAGTCGTTGGTTATTCCTTTATTGGGCTGCACTTGCATTTCTATTTTTATAATGAATGCAACGTTGGGAAATGGGAATTGGAATCTTAGAATAGCATCTCATTGATAGAGAAACAGAAAAAAATGGAATCAGTAAAAGAAAAATTTCTTGTGGACCATGTCCAGTTTGTAAAGCACTAATCTGCAATTAATCTCATGCTAAGATATTAATGACCTTGGACATGTTTAAACAGGACATGTATACTCCAAATCACAAGAAGATAAATATAGCTCCCCAACCTGCGCGACACAAAAAAAGTTTTACAATTGCTAGCTCACACAAAGTAGTTCCTTGGCATCTTTGATAGGAAAATGGAAGTCTTCAGATTCAAAAGATAATCAAGTAAAAGATTTACAGGAACTTATACCCCATATTCACGGGTGCATATTCCAAATATCCACTAGCATATATTCTAAAGCAAGAAGATACCTGGGCTAATTTGCCTTTCAATAGTAGCAAAATTGCAAGTAAACAGAATGGATAAGCACTGACACAGCTAAACACAGTAACTAAGGCTTAAAGTTTTACTTACTACATTATCCCTAGCTAATCTCCACTGTGCATTTCACGAGCAAATGTTTCCAAAAATCCATCTTTAGCAAAAATATTACCAAAATTTCACAGATCCAGTAAACCGCTCAATCGAGTAGTCTAAAATTACCATTTAATATACCATCCAGACCACTAATGTACACATCCTCACAAACTCTAACCATAATGAAAAATCAAGTCAAAGCCAGCTACGAAAACGATCAAACAATTCTGAAACCCATTCCCAGAAAGAGGGAAAGAACCCTAATCAAGATGGTGTCGCCGCGGAAAAGCTGAAGCTTTTCCATGCTTTCCGGGTGTAGGGCCACGACGGAGTTATCATCATTGATTGCCTCATCGACAACGAGCCGATTGGGCGACTTCTTCCTCTCTACAATCGCCGTACTGAAATCCCCTTCGTTCCTTTCCTGCAAACCACATTCAAGCCACGAGAACAAAGGGAAAAATCATCAAAGAAAATCCCATAAAAGAAAATATACAGGATTTATTTAACCAAATATAAATGGAGAGATGTGAAAACAACGACATAATGAGAGAGGAAAGGCTTGCTTACGAGTCCGAAGCTTCAGCCTGGTTACTCATGGCTGGGTGTGATGAATTGGATTGGGTTGGATTGACATTAGAGAGAAATGGTAAATTTGGTTTGGTGGAAATTGGTGTGGGGGAGATCTGAGGATTTGTGGGATTATTAAATGCTAAAGCAGGCAAGATAACCAATGTTTTGAAATTCGAACAGTTAATTGAACCGGTAAGATGACGGGATCGAGATTCAATCGGTCGGACCGATTCAACCCTGATTCAATGATTTATATATATATATAAATATATATATGTATTACACACATACATGTGCACAGAATAAGAAATCTCATAGACTAATTCAAGACATCACTTGATAAAAAGTTAAATATTTCAAACCACTTGACTTTTATAGATTAATTTTTTAAAGGGATAATTGCAGAAACCTCCCCTGACTTTTATAGTAATAGCATTGACCTCCCCTATCAATTTTGAAATAGCATTGACCTCCCTTATTAAACGTTGGAGGCAATTTAATAGGCAAAAGTGGGTCAATTTACTAAAGTACCCCTGGCATGATTTAATTTTACCAAATGAATGTGATGAGTACTTTCATCAAACTCAACAAAACATTTGTTAATAAAAATTACACTAAATTAACTATTTCTACATAGTTTAACTAATTAACTAAATAACTAAATAACTAATAATCTAATTAATTAATAACTAATTATCTAATTAACTATTAACTAATTAACTAATTATCTAATTGTTAATAGTTATTAACTAATCAAACTATTTCTACATAGTTAAACTAATTAACTATTAACTAATTATCTAATTAATTAATTAACTAAAGTTGTTGTCTGTCCGAAACTAACAAACTATTTGCATGTTAAACTAATTAACTAATTAACTGCTTAACTAATTAACTACCTAATTATCTAATTAATTAATTAACTAATTAACTAATTTTTGTTTATCTAATTAACTAAAGTTGTTGTCTATCCGAAACTAACAAACTATTTGCATGTTAAACTAATTAACTAATTAACTGCTTAACTAATTAACTAATTAACTAATTAACTAAAGCTGTTGTCTATCCGAAACTAACAAACTATTTGCATGTTAAACTAATTAACTAATTAACTGCTTAACTAATTAACTAACTAATTATCTAATTAATTAATTAACTAATTTCTGTTTATTTAATTAACTAATTAACTAAAACTGTTGTCTATCCGAAACTAACAAACTATTTGCATGTTAAACTAATTAACTAATTAACTAATTAACTAACTAACTAATTAACTAACTATTTGCATGTTAAACTATATGCAGTACGCATTATCTATTTAAAGTATCGGCTCTTTATGGGTATTTTACTTTCAATCATTTAATTTATGATAAAAACATCAATGTTTGTAAGTAAAATTCAAAAAGTGTTACAAGTAATATCAATATTCTTATTCTCAAACATTTAATTTATGACTCTATGCCCCCCCTTTTTGTAAGAATATTATTGTAATACTTTTTGAATTTTAGTTACAAACATTGATGTTTTTATCATAAATTAAATGTTTGAAAGTAAAATACTTATAAGGAGCCGATACTTTAAATAGGTAATACGTACTGCATATAGTTTAACATGCAAATAGTTTGTTAATTAGTTAGTTAGTTAATTAGTTAATTAATTAAGCAGTTAATTAGTTAATTAGTTTAACATGCAAATAGTTTGTTAGTTTCGGACAGACAACAACTTTAGTTAATTAGTTAATTAGATAATTAGTTAAGCAGTTAATTAGTTAATTAGTTTAACATGCAAATAATTTGTTAGTTTCGGACAGACAACAGATTTAGTTAATTAGTTAATTAGATAATTAGTTAATTAGTTAATTAGATAATTAGTTAATTAATTAATTAGATAATTAGTTAATAGTTAATTAGATAATTAGTTAATAGTTAATTAGTTTAACTATTAACTAATTAGATAATTAGTTAAGCAATTGTCAAGCAAATAATAATTGTCAAGCAAGTAAGGGCAAAATTGGAAGAAAATTCTTATCTCACTTCTACAAAAGCTGTCAAGGAGGTTTCTGCAACCAATTGTTACTGTTTAGGGGAGGTGAATGCAATTTCTAAATCTAGAGGGGAGGTCAGTGCAAATGTCAGAAATCTCAAGGGAGGTTTCTGCAATTATCCCTTTTTTAAATTGTAAAATCAAGCAAATAATTCATCTCAGTTATACCTATCAAAAAAATAATTTTTTTTGAGCAAAATAGAAAGAACTTCATTAATGATTTGCAATGTAGCACATACACGAGGAAATCCTCAAACTACATCAGCAAAATAACACTAAGCATTGCAAACCAACAAAATTGCTTAAAATCTAAGCCCCACTCTACAAGTAGAATCCAATTTTCATAAGTTCTAGGAATTTTTCCCCAACTGAGAACACCGCATTTCCTCAAATCTAGTGTACTAAGTCTTTGTTACATACAAAACACAATATAAAAACATGTCTAGGAATGTGATTTTCATACCATACTAAACTACTCCAATGTACAACGGTACCTCGGGCCGGAATGTTTTCATAGCATCCTTTACGGTAAACATCCTTGAAGAATTTTCAAGCCACGCAATTTAATCATCATGCTTTGGAATAGGCACAAAAATTGCAAGTGTAGCCTGTTGCAATATTTTGGAAAATCCACTAAATAGTGTCCCTAACATCGTTTGTCGCCCTAGTATAAAGATTATGTTATTGAGTATTCCTAATGGATAAGAGCAGCCAAAATAAATTTATATTTTAGTGCAAAGTACTTCAAGAATTTTCCAGTACATAATCAACAAAAGTGAAGTACATATACAATACCAAAAATAGGAATTGAATCCTGAGTTTTGTGACATAATAGTTGATCAAGTAAATTAGCTTTCTGCACTGGTTTTCTCTCATGGCATTCAAATTCTTACCCACAAAAGAAAAAGAAAAAAAACTGAAATAGACAAATTGCTCTTCAAAGAAAAATCGAACAACAAAAATAAAACTACCAAAAATTGCGGACCTTGAGAATCATACAATCTGTCAAACGCCAAGTAATAAACAAATAAGTGAAAAAAAAATGAAACTAACCTGGACGATGTCTTGAGAGTTAAGATTTGTGAGATTAATCCAATCTTTTGCAAGAAAAAATAGAGAATTGAAGTTGAGAAACCCCATATTTAAGAAGCCCGATGCCATTGAGAATTTGGATTCTTAATTTGAAAAAAGAAGAAAGAGAACTGGAGAAGAGATTAAGAATGAGAAAGTGTGTGCAGCAGCCGTCATTAGAAATTAGGGTTAGAAAGAAAAGTTGGGAAGATACGTTGTCACCTTTCAAGACTTTTAAATTCGGTTTAAAAAATTAGGAAAAAATAAAAAATCAAGGTTCAATGGGTCAATCCTGGTTGAATGGTTCTAACGGTTTTTACGGTTTTGACCGGTTCTTATAACAAGTCAACTTTAGTAGTGAGCCGGACTGGAGACATGGCCGGTTCGCGGTCCGACCGGCCGGTCCGGTCCGGTTTTCAAAACATTGAAGATAACATGTTTTCTCAACATCTTAATCATAATCTTAAGGGAATAAAAGAGAATAAAAGTGCGAATGGGTTATGCTGTAATTTCATCTTCCTCTCCTCCGGTTCAATATTTCAAATGCGCTCAATTTTTCTCTCTTCCACTGCAAAACACCGAACTCTTCCAGCCTAACTATTAATTTCATCCGCTCCTTTCTTCATCCCAAAAGTCTTACCGACATTGAAATCTATTGATAGATATTGAAATCCATTGATATCCAACACCAGAGTCAAATCTGCTCTCCTCTTTTTCTTAATCTCTCCATCAAATATGCTCTGTTGTTCTTCTCTCACGAACTCTCTCCCACGAAAGATGCACTTATTCAATAGCCCTCCACTCAAGTTCTATCCTTATCCCGTTTCACTCTCCACAAGACTGTGAGGACCCGACTTATTTTAATCTTATTTTAATGGATTAATTAATTATTTATTCACCCGTTTTCTCCGAATAATTTATTTCAACCATTTTAAATCCATTTACACGAAACAATGTCTCACTTACGTTTTTAAAACATTTTGTTAGAAAATTTTATTTTTCGGAGGCTCGTTCAGTAAGGAATAACGAGTACACATTTTTTGAGATAAATTCGATTCGAGAGTGCATTAGTCTTGGAGAATTAAGAATGAATAATAATAGACGAAGAAAAGTTAATTGAGGCATTAGTGGTGAATGAGTTCAAAACATTTCGCTTTATACGCGCGAATCAAAAATTCAAGTATATCGAGCCGGAATGGCTAAGTGGAGATTAAGAAACTTATTCTAAACTACTAAGAGTGAATAATTATAATGTTAAAGGAAGTACATTAAAGGTATAGTGCACAAATGAAACAACTTCGAGAGAAAACGGACACGAAATGCACGCGCAAAACTTTTGGTAGTTGACTTTTGAGACAAACTTTGGCCCCAAGTATCCAAGCTTCCAAGAGAAGCTTTAGTTATCAGCTGCACACTCTCTCTCCTCTCATCTTGCTGGCCGAAATTCTCCAAGGAAGAAGAAGGAGAGCTCCACTTCATTTCACGTCACTTTGTGCTACCATTTCTCACTCAAATTCACCACACAACTTCCACTTCACTTGGAGATTCACTTGGACTAGGAAGGAAGCATCATCTCACGGTTTTTCTTGAGGTCTTAGAGGTGCAAAATTTCTGATTTCACTCAAAGGAAGAGGAGGTAATCATCCAACCATCTAATCTTGGATTTAGTGGGTTGATCTTTGCTAGGAAGTTTGTAGCTTCATTGTTATTGTTGTTGTTGGGTTTAAATGGTTGGAGTGGGTTCTATGAAATCCCACCTTGATGATATAGGACTGATATGATGATGATAAGTGTTGTTTGTGTTAATTATGTGATAAACAAGATGAGATTTGTTGGAAAAGTGAAAGGAAAACCAAAGGAATTGCATAGGAAGCTTAGCCAAAAATTTGCCTTGTTTTTCTTGAAGCTTTGGTTCAAATTTTTGATACTCAAATGACCTTGAATCTGATGTAGATATGTTGTATAGGATGTGTAGAAAGTTTTTACCAAAAATCAATTGATTTGGTTGAGTAAAAATTGAAATTTCGAAATGAA